GGAAAGAACACAGGAATCAATATTTTTAGTGTTCAGGTGACTCTTATAAGCATGCAAATTAAGTTTATATTCCCAAAATGTATCAAATTATCTCCTTGTGATCTAAAAAGCGTAAGAACATTTCACAAAGGTAACTCATTATGAGAGGCAACTAATGTACTTGGAAGAATTTTGTTTAAGCAGTTTATTACCTCAATTTATTACTACAATTACTTCAATCAGGCAGTAATTTAACACAAAATCCCAAAATCCTTCTTGGTCCAATTTTACCTGGGAGTTTTTTTATCTAGTTCATTCTTTTGATCAGATACTAAAGCCTTTCCCCTTCAAAAGAAAAGGCAAAGAAATTACCTCTCAAGGACTTACATTGCCATATGTGCACTCCACCCAAGGGTGAATGGTGATTTTGTATTTTCCGTGCAGTGAGATGACAGGGTCAGGTATCTTGGAATGATGACTTGCTGCCCAATCTTGTTGTTAAGTGAGAGAGTTACATTGAAGCTATATCGCTTCAAATGAAGAATGAGGATCCTGAAAAACAGGAGATGATGACATTACTAGGTCATACATAATAGAGGTAGCTCTCTTATAGGTGAAAAAAGATCACTGCAACTGACTATGTTAGACAGCTTTTGATTTAAAAAATACATCTGTCCAAACTAAATAAAGATTTGGCCAAACAACATTTACTGAATACCTGCCATGTGTAGGCATTGTGCTAGGTACTAAGAACACAAATAAAAATCACAGGCGTTGGGTAGCTTAATGAGGTTCAGGTAAAATATTTACAGTATTCCTAAAAAAAAAAAAAACACCATACACACCAAATAAAACATAACAGACAAAAACACCATATTCTTAAATGCTGATACTGATATATTGATAGTGGGTTAAATCCTTAAATTATTTAACTTCAATGCCATATAGTTTAAAAAACTAGGTGTTATATAACCATTAATGATACTTTCAAGTGTTAAAACAGCCCTATGTCTGATGGTGAACATTGATTTTCTTTAAGATGATTTCTGACAAGAACTTTTCTTATTTCAGTAGCATTTTGTCTGAAGAAAGAAATATAAAAATTTTCTCTACTTAGAAAAAAGTTCTACAAAATTTTATGGCATATCTGTTTTGTGGGTCTGAAAAAGCTTTTAGCTCTATAAAATTACTTCCTTTTAGTTACTACTGTGGCAACCTTTTCACCTCTGATATAGAACATAGCCTCTGCCTGATGGATTAGATATACTTCACAGTCTATAAGAACAATTTAATTTCAGAACTCTTATGGGAATAAACCTCAATTCTAGGCAAAAATAATGTCTGATTTATGGAAAGCTGTTTCCTTTCTTACCATATACATATGCCTTCATCACAGAAGCTACAAACTCAAAAATTTGTAAGTTGAAGTTATCAATTGTATTTCTCTTTAAAAAGCATGCTAGAATTCCTAACATCCAAATTCACAACTGGGAGAATACGAGGACACAGCTGATGTGAACAGACTAAAACTAATGTCAAATATTTTGACTAAATTTTCACATAATCCTACCAAAATAAAAGGTAATATAAAACAGACAGAGATGGTATAGTTAAAAAGCACTGATCTGTAAAGATGAGGTAGACTAGGAATTAACAGATTTGATAAAGATAGTGGACACTTCAAGAATAAAAGACTGGTTTTAATACTGAAATGAACAAAGCGAAGCGAGTCCAATAATTAGGATTTATGATACAATGGTTTCTATTTCATGTAAGTTTAGAATAAATTAACTTTTAACACAGGTGACCTACCAGAAAAAAAAAAAAGGAGAAAAATCCCCCTCAATATTTTTTTCCCCTACACCCTCCTACTTCAAAATATTCACGAATCGAAAAGAATAAGTCCCTTAAGTAAGAAATACAGACTATGGTTAACAATACTAGTGCTATGATTTAGAAAGTCTTTTCTTTAAAAGAAACTCATTTTCTAGAAAGGAACAGATTATGGAGTGTAAAAGAACTAGTCTCTAGGGGCTAGGTTCCAGAAACTCCACATTTAGTCTTAGAAAAATTGAAGCTAATAAAAGAAAGTAAAGCACTCTGCAGGCAAAGTGCCATATAAATACTTAATGTTAAGAAGAACCTTGTTTGTGGTTGAGATCTAGTCTTGGAAAGACCTAAGAGCTATTCTATAATTCTATAATCATATCATAATTTTTCTAACTAGTTTGGTTTTATATTTGTTTACAGAGAACTAATACAACTTAGTTTCATTCCTAATTTGGAATTCTCATTACAGAAAACTTATCAATTTATAAGATCCTCTGAATAAAGGAATGCATAAACTGCAGAAAATTACTCTATTTTGTTTTTAGGCACGCATGTCTATCTATCTACAGATTTTTACTGAAAGTCTGGGGTAAGATAAAGAAGCTATGCACAATGCAGGACAACAGATTATAACTGATTATTATACATTACTGAATTAAAAATCTGCTAGCTAGTCCCTATCATTATTCTGGCCTCACCACTCACATCCTCTTGCTGCCATCTTTTTGGAACTCTCAAATTCCTTTAACATTCCAAATCCTCTTCCCTTCTTATGCATCCTAGTTTTCTATTTTCTGCCCTTTTCATAGCTCGGCTCTGCTGACCTTCTTTACCAATCCGTTCTGGTAAACCTCACTTATTCAGTAATATTTGTAAGTACTTTAAAGAAGAAAAATTCAAGAGCAATTAATTTTACCTGGGCAGCCTGTTAAATTTGTGCCTGACAAGAGCACATTTCCCCCCACACTTCTCACAGGAATATTCAAGTTCTTCTGCCTGTAAAAAGACAAGAGGGAAAAATAAAGAAGTATGAAGTTGAATGAACAATACCCCATTAAATGCTACTAATCTTCAGTGGAATGACAACTCTAACCAGTTTAAATTTTGTGTCTAGAGTCACAAACCTTACTATATTAAGACCTAATCCTCAAAATAGTTATAATACCACACCCTATTTCAGAATTCCTAATTTCCTTTTTTAACACGGAAACATCTCCACTTATGACAGTAACTAGACTCTACAGTAGCAGATTCTCAACCTTTTCCCCATGGGTACACAAGAACCACTGCCAAGAGTATATCCAGACTTAACATTTGGCCATAGCAGAGATAAGATCACCTTCAGGTTAGGCGGAGTTCCTGGTCTGTTAGGTGTAACTCTACCCCTTTCTTATAATGGAACTCAATCTTCTGGTGACAGCCCACTAAGAACAACTGCTCTAAAAGGACCAAAGTTTGGGGTGGATATCATTACCTAGAGAAAACTGAAACAAGAAATCCTTAAAAAATGGGAGTAAAGATACATAGGAAAATCTTCAAATTCTATGATAATAACAGGAATAGTAAGTAAGGAATGATTAAAACAAAAAAGAAAGCAGAGTATTTATCTTTGGGTGAAGCTAAATGTTCATCATTTAAAGAACAGAAATTTTTTTTTTAACCTTAGGAAGACAACCCTGCCTATTTGCACAACAAAACAAGAACCACTATTACAAAGGATGATTCTGACAAATTTCTATCAGTTGTAAGGACTGCTACACGACAGGTTCAATATGCCCCAGAATATCTATAACACTTATTACAGACACAAATATTTATTTACAGCTTTGGATAAACTGACTTTTCTGTTTCTAATAGGGTACATACAACCTAAGGAGAAGCAAAGATTTTTTTTTTTATTTCTCAGATCTTAGATCTTAACTTACATACTGTCTTCGATTTTAATCCACACTACCCAGTTTTAGCATATGTCACTTAATATGCTTCGAACTAATATTTGTTTACAAATAACTGCTTCTAAGGTTGTCTAAAACATTTGCTGTTGAGTCAAATGCATAATCTACTTAAGCAATCAATTTTCTTTAATAAGTTAACAATTAGATTTATCAAGCTTTTAATAATATTTATAAACATTTCTCATTTGTTTTCCCTGAAAGTAATTTTGTCCAAACTCTGCCTTAAAGAAACTTCTTTTCAAATTCAATTATCTATGATATTTAAAATTTAGTTATGTGACAATACTGAAAAGATATTACTTACCCTAAAGAAAAGATCAAGAGAATCTTGAATTGAACGAGGAGGGAGTGGTTTTTTCCTTCGAGGAAGGTCAATGGACAGGTCATTAAATTGTTCTCTTTTGGGAATAATCTCTCCACATCTGTTAAAATAAAAGAAGACAAATATAACCATTTGGAAGTCTAACTGCAATATTAAATAAATACAAATATACTTCAGAAACACTGTTCCCACATAGAACTTATCAGGTACTGGCAACTTATCAGGTACTAGTCTGAAATTACTCTGTTTCAGACTATGACTAGGCATAAGAAATATACAACATTTAAGACCTTTCTCAAGCTACCTTAACCCTTACTAAATCAACAGAGGCAAAACCTCAATTGCAAGTATTTAAGCACTTTCTTAAAATGTGAAAAGACTTGAAGTACCAGGATTCTGGCATTTTTAAAAAAAAGCAAGGAAGCTAGTTTGATTAGAACAGAATGAACAAGAGGAATAGCAGTAGGAGATGAAGTCAGAGAATTCACTGGAGAAGAGATGCTGAAAAGCAGAGTAAATGGGTTTTACAGATCACAGTAAGGATTTCAGCTTTTATTTTAAGGGTTACACAGCAGAGGGTTGCCATTAATTAACTTTCATTTTAATTGAATCATTCCAATGTGTTTAAAATAGAATACAGAAAGAAAAGGACAGAAACACGGAGACCGGTTTAGAAGGTATTGCAAAAACCAGGCAAGAGATGATGGTCCAGAGTGATGGTAGTGGAGGTAGTAGAAAGATGTCAGATTCTAGCAGTATTGTAAAGAGCTGAAAGGATTTGCTGACAATATGATATGGGGTGCAAGAGAAAGAACTAAGAAATACACCACATTTCTGAAACGGTCATTACCGAGATAGGGAAGACTGCAGAAGGTTTATGAGAAACATTAAGAACTTAATTTTAGATATTTTAAGTTCTTCAAATGGAGACTTCATAATTCTTAGTATTCAATAATGTTATTAATATATTGAAATACCTTATGATAATTGAATACCAATCGATTTAAACTATAATAGTTAAAAAAAAATAATAAAAAGAAGTACATTTGGCAAACTGGCCAAACTAACCTACAGCCAGATGAGACAAAAGGCTAAATATGAAAAATTACAATTTGAGGAATAAGGTACTTGAGAACCTCCTTCAGCAGAAACTATTTTGTGTTTAAAGAACTGTCTTAAAGAAAATTACTAATAAAGCAACTAACGCAAGGACTTCGAGGAGACAGATGTACCACAGCTGCTGTGGCCCCACAGAACCTTATCACCTCCTGGACTTGCCGAACTCCTGGGCCACTGTTCAGGCTGGCTGCCTGTTAGGCCTACATCCATGAGCTATGCCACCTCATGCCCTGGTGCACACACCTCAACTGCACACCTGACATCTAGGCTGCACAACTGGAGCCGCACTGTGCCAGCAGCATCAGTCAGGCAGCCAACGCTATGATATGGACTTTCTTCCTGTGCTGCCTGCAGTCATTTCTATCAGAGGCAACTGAAATTTTCCTATCAAAAAAAACTTTGGTTGGTACCCTCAAAATTAAATCACAATAAAAAACTCTGCTTCTCTCTCTGACTCGAACAAATTTTGTTTGTAAAGTGCACTGAAAGAAAGGGAAAGACGGCTGTCTATAATATAATTAACTGCTAAGGGCTCTCTAGCTTTTATAAGAAAATGAGCTGTATTTGTAAAACCTGGACTTTTTCTTTAAAAAATAATTTATCCATTGGAGGAAAAAAGAGCTGAAGAAATAATGAAGGTAAGAAAGTCACAGACTAGTGATTGCAAAACTACTGTATTTATACTGTCCACATGGCTGTTTGAAATTCTAGTCAAAAATATTAGAATATTGTAGCTGGAAGAGACCTCAGTGAACACTACTATTTTCAGCAACCTAAGAAAAACAGATACATGTGGAAGACAGAGAATGAAAAGCTAATACATGGCTATTGAGTATTTCAAAAGAAAATTCCAGAACAAATGGAAGAGAAGCAGTATTTAGAAAACAGTGTTCTTGAGCTGAAGAAAACTCCAAATCTTCAGATGAAAAGCCCCATCACATTAAAAGCAAAATTAACAAAAAGTGTCAATACCTATACGTAAAACAGTAAAACTGAAAAAAGAAAAAAAGGAAGGAAGGAAGGCAGGCAGACACAGACTTTCAGGAAGAAAAAGGTTACTCAAAAAATCAGACTTCTCCCACGTAACACAGAGTAACAGGATACACTAAAACAGTCTATGTAATATGTTGAGGGGGAAAGGCTATGTGTGACTCAATAATTCTGTATTAAGTCATGTGTAAAAGCCACAGAAATAACTCTAACTTATATAGGAGCTGTGAAGAATTCTACTCTCTCTTAAGAAAATGTATTCAGAGATGAACTATCAATAATTAGAAGATTAATCAAAATAGAACCTTTTGATATGAAGTATACCATATAGAAGTCTAGATAATGATCATGGAAATTAATTATATGTAGAAAGTAAACCTGAATAACTAATGCAAACATGGTTTAAAAACACTGCAAAAGTTAAAAATAATTCAAATTTTGATCAATTTTGTAAAAAAACCCCCCTATTTTTAATAAAAAAAAATCTTGTTCAACAAAATAAGCAACTAATAGGAGTGAGTCTTTGCAGGGGGGAAAAAAAAAAAAGTATTCCCAAAGAACTAGATAGTCCACACAGTGATTAAAAGAAAAAACACACACACACACGCACACCAAAGAAGGTAGGTCAAAATTAATTGTTTCGTCAGCAGTAAGGCATTTGACCAAATAATATTTAAGTACTCTTTAGTTCTCACTCAAGCATTTTTACAGATGATGATGACACTAAAAAAAGGATGTTTCCCCATGACACAGGAAGATGAGATCATTAAAACCTTCAGAAGAGTTTTAATCACTTGCCATAAAGAATAAAAGCATTTTCATCACTTGCCATAAAAGGGAAAAGAGTTTTCTGGGAGACTACTTACGCTTTACAGATAATGGAGTGCTGAACCTCAAACTCCAAATTAGTAATAACGGGGCAAGTGTATACTCTAGTGGCTGAAATATCTGGTGAATTTTCTTCTCCAGAAAGAGGTTCAGTCTTCCAAGTTTTATTTAATTTTTCCATATCTTCTTTCAGCTGGTCTAAGCATTGACTTAGAAATTCATGAGCATCCTAAGGCAAAATATCTTTAATCAGATCAAAACATTTCCTGATAAACAATAACAGTTTATCAACATTGTGATTTATACAACTAAAGCACTGGGAAGTCAACAGCATTATAGAAAAAAGATCAGATTTACTCTAATGATTTTATGGTACATATTTGTGAATAAAAACAAATAAGAAATTTTATATTCTTTACAATCAGTTGGATTAGCAGGAATAAATAAATGAATCACTTCTTTGTTTTTATAAAAAGGTAATTTTTCTAAAATAGCCTTTGATAGCCCAAGTTTCTGTACTGGCAAACCCTATTTTTATTATTAAAACGACAAAATACACAGAAGAGTCATACTGAACCTTCCCAGAAGTTCTCAAGTTTTTCAACTTGTGATGAACACACACATATATACAAATCTCACTTTAAAAATCAGGTAACACACTAAAATCATTTCAATTTCCCCTATAGCTAAAGTGTTTTTAAACACAATTGGTACTCACATTCTGCATATAACCAGAGAATCGCTCTGCTGTAGCTGAAATGGCATTTTTAACCTTCTTGAGTAAATCTTTTTTGGTCTCTGAATTACAGATATCTTTTTTAACAAGCAAGTGTGCAAAGCGTCTGGTAAAACAAAATAGACAAGTTTAGCATGTTTTACAAAACACTGGATGGTGTGATATTTTAAAGACTGCTAACAACGGCACATAAAATTTTAAGTGTCTAAAACTCCATTATTCTACAAGAATAAGGCGGAAAGTTACTTAGTAAGTACATAACAATTACCTGATAAGTGCATTGTGTGGAATTTTTTTCCATGGGATACCTTGCTTAAGCAAGTCATTTGCAAATGACTGAAGTGAAAATAGGGATTGTAAAATAGCATTCATATAGCAGGTATTTCCCAAATTGGAGAAGCTGAAAATGAAAGAAATTTTCATGAAATAAAAGTACTTCTGAAGACGATGGTAGTTCCTGAAATATGTTCACTAGAGTAGGGGTTCTCCAGTACAGCATGCATTAGAATTGCCTGGGGACTTACTGAATACACATTGCAAGGCCCTAACTCCATAGTTTCTGATTCAGTAGGTCTAGATAGAGAAGGTGCAAAAATAAGCATTTCTTAATTTTTGAAAGCCCCAAATTAAACTTCTAGAGATAAAAAACAATATTTGAAAAGAAAATTTGATTGAATGAGATTAATAGCATATTAAACACCAAAGAAGGAAATATCAGTGAACTTGGAAGGTTTAACAACATAAATATCAAAACTGAAGTATCCATATATTTTATATAATACATAAAAATTATATTTTATAATTTAAAACAAAATACATGTATATACTTTGTAAAATATTAAGTATATTTTATATAAAATGTAACATTTCAAGTATCTTTTATCTATATAAAAGTAAACATATATATTTTCTTATTTATCCTCCTTTCTTATACAAAGGTAGCATATTATGCAATACACTTTAGCAATTTGGTTTTTTTACTTATCAATATATTCTTTGTTAATTTCAGGTTTGTTTTTAATTATGGCCATCCTAGTGGGTACGAAGTGATATCTCATTTTGGTTTTGACTTCATACACCTTCCTTTTTTCATTTTTTTTCACAGCTGCACAATTCTACATTGTTTTTAGATATTTGTCCGTTTCATCTAGTTATTTAATTTGTTGGTGTACCTCTAACCATATTATTCTCCTATAATCCTTTGTATTTTGGTAAGGTTGGTAGCAATGTACTCACTTTCATTTCTGACTTTAGTTATTTGAGACTTCTCTTTCTCTTTGTCAATTTATCTAAAAGTTTATCAATTTTGTTGATCTTTTTAAAAAATCAACTTTGGGTTTTATTTTCTCTGTTATTTTTCTATTTTCTATATCTCTGCTCTAATCTTTATTATTCTCTGCCTCTTTCTTGATTCAATGTTTGCTTGATTGCCATTAACCCTTGTTTTTCAAAGTTTCTGACACAGTTGATTTTGATAGTTTTGCATGATATTTCAAAGTTTTGGTGAAGGGATGGGCCCTTGGAGCTCTGATGTCCATTTTACTGATGTCTTCTTCCCCCACTCAATTTTAAAAGTTCTCTGTATATTAGAGATATTGCATATTTATTTATATGTTGCAAATACTTGCTTCCAATTTGTCTATGTTTTTGGCAATGAAAAATCTAATTTTTATGTAGGAAAATTTATCAATCTATTCTTTTCCTGAATCTTGTTTTGAGTCAGTTACAAAGCCTTTCCTTATACCTAGGTTACAGAAAAATTCACTCCCAACTTCTAGTATTTGAAGAGTTTTACTTTTTATATTTAGCACTCTGATTAATTTGGAATTTATTCTTGTGTACTTGAGAGATACATCTTTTTCAAAATGGCTAGTCATCCTGACCCTATTTATTAAAAAATCCTTCTTTGTCCCTATAATCTGGACTTTCTAAGTCCATCGATCTGTCCGTTCATGCCATCAGCACCAAGCTATTTTAATCATACTGACTTTACAATAATTTCAAATATCTAGCTGGTAGTGCTATTCTCCCCTCTTAGTTATTTCTTTCCTGTATTTTCCTAACTACTCTCCTATGTATATTTTTCCACATGAATATATCAACTAGTCTAACTTGTTGGTTATTTGGATATTAAATTACAAATTATTTTAGAAAGAACTATACCTCGATCATGCTAAGATGTCCTAACCAAAAACAATGGATGTTTTTCCTGTATTTATGTTTCCTTTGTATCTTTCTGGGGTGTTTTATAGTTGTCTTCATTCGGTTTTAAATAATCCTTGTTAAATTTATTCTTATATATTTTATCTGTGAAATATTCTCTTCCATTCTATCTTCCAACTGGTTATTTGTATTAACAAGCAAAATTGCTTTTGTATGTTAATTTTCAATCCTGCTATCTGGGTAAATACTTTCTTCCATCAATGATTCACTAGAGTTTCCAAGTCCTTCAGTTCCAATCCTTATGCCTCTACTTTCTTTCTCTTATTAACTGCATTGACTAATATTTCCAATAAAAGATTAAACAGAAGACAGCAGCATCTTTGACTTTTTCCTGAATTTAAGCAAAATACTGGTTTTAGGATTTAGGTATATAACCAAGGAAGTGCCCCACTGATTCCTATGCTTGCAAGCATTTTTATAAAAAATGTGTATTAAATTTTGTCACATTTTTTCAACATCAGTGAAGAAAATCATGATTTTCTCCTTATACTTATAATATAGTAAATTATATTAATAGATTCCCTGATATTCAACTACCTTTGCAATCCTGGTATTAACCCATTCGTCATATTATATTATTTTCTTAACACAGTAATGAAGTCTGTTTACTAATATTTGACTTAGGAGTTCTTGCATTAATATTCATAAAATATTGGTTTGTAAATTTCTTTGATGCTACCTGATCAGACTTATATTTACTTCATTAAAAGTAAGTATTGGAAAGCAAAAGTAAATAAGTGGGACTACAGCAAAATAAAAGGTTCTGCACAGCAAAGGAAACCATCAAGAAAATAAAAAGGAAACCTACTGAATGAGAAAAAATAACTGCAAATCATATATATGATAAGGGTTAATATCCAAAATATATAAAGTACTCATACAACTCAATAGCAAAACAACAACAACAAAACTGATTAAAAAATGGACAGAGGATATGAATAGACATTTTTCCAAAGAAGATATACAGATGGCCAAGAGGTACACAAAATGATGCTCGACATTACTAATCATTAGAGAAATGCAAATCAAAACCACAATGAGCTATCACCTCATACTTGTTAGAATGGCTATCAATAAATAAGAAATAACAAATGTTGGTGAGGATGTAGAAAAAAAGGAAACACTTGTGCACTGTTGGTGGATCTATAAATTGGTACAGCCACTATGAAAAACAGTATGGAGGCTCCTCAAAAAATTAAAAATATAACTACTATATGATCCAGCAATTTTATTTCTGGGTATATGAAGAAAATGAAAGTGCTTAATTTGAAAAGATAAATGCCTCCCATATTCATTGCAGCATTATTTATAATAGCCAAGATGTAGAAACAACCTAAGTGTCCATCAATGGATGAATGGATAAAGAAAATGTGAGGAGACACACACATACACTTTAGCCATAAAAAGGAAACTGTGCTATTTCAACAACACAGATGGACCTTGAGGGCATTAAGTGAAATAAAAAAAAAGACAAATACCATATGATCTCACTCATATCTGAATCTAAAACAAAAACCAAAAAAAAAAGCAAAGAAAAACAAAAAACCCCACAAACTCATAGATACAGAGAACAAACTGGTGGTTGCCAGAGGCAAGGGGGTGGGGGAGGAAATGGTTGAAGGGGGTCAAAAAGTACAAACTTCTGTTATGAAATAAATAAGTTATGGGGACATAATTTACAACATGGTACTGTATTACATAATCAAAAGTTGCTAAGAGAATAAATTTTAAAAGTTCTCATCACAAGAAAAAAATACTTTGTAACTATTTAAGGTGACTAGGGTTAAGTACATTTATTGTGATCATTTTGCAACATACATAAATATTTAAATCATTATGCTGTATATCTGAAACGAATATGCTATATGTCAATTACACCCTAATAAATTTTTTTTTAATTAAAAAGTAAGTATTGGACACTTTCCTTCATTTTCTATGCTCTGAAACAATTTGCATGGCATTGGGATTTTCTGCTTTCTAAAGATTTAGAAGAATTACCCTGTGGAAATACTTGAGTTCAGTGCATTTTTTGTGTAGGAGCTCCTTTATAGATTTCTTTTTTCTTCTATGGACCTCTACTAGAATCATTTAAGTAAACTATATTTTTTAAACCTCTACTAGAATCATTTAAGTAAACTATATTTTCTGAGATAATTATGCCCATTTTAACTAAGTTTTCTCATTCTTTTTGATTAGAGAAGTACAAAATAGTCTCAAATGATTTTAAAAACTTCCCTTATATTAATAATTATTTCTCCCTTCCCAACTTATTGTATTTTCCTTTTAATCTTGACTCAAAGGGTAATGATTTAAATTTTTTCAAAAGTCCATATTTTGATTTATTAATAAAATCTATTTTTTAGTTCTCTACCTCATGCAATTCTAATTTTTACCTTATTGTTTTGCTTTTGCTTTCTTTGGTTTACTTTGTTCTATTTTTTTTTTTTGAGTTCGGAATTTATTTATTCACTCTCATTTGTACTGATATAGGTGTTTAATACTATAAATTTTCCTCTGATTACTGATTTAGTTTCCTATAGGTATATAGTGTTTTCATTATCATTCATCTTCAGAATATCTGTAATTTGTGTTTGAGCCTAGGGTAATTTAATGGGATTTTTAGAGTTTCTACTTGGAAAGTACCTTTTTAACATTTAGTTTAATTTTTAATTTTATTTCACTGTGATTAAAAGATATTGACTGTATTATTTCTACTTTATGAGGCCTACTGATTTTTCCTTTGTGCTGTAATATATGATTAATTTTTGTGAGTGTCCCATATGTGTTTGAAAAGAATGCATATCCTCTATTGTAAGAGATAGCACTTAATATATATCTATATCTATCTGATTATGTTGTTTAGATCTTTTATGTCCTTACATATTCTACTTTATTGGGTATAAGGACTGCAATCTCTACTTTCTTACTGTTTCCATTAGGCAGCTAAACCTCTCTCCTTTATTTTAAAACTTTAAAATCACTGTTCTAGGATTACCCCCAGTATACAGCAGAGTTGGGTTTTGCTTTGTGGGCCAATTTGAAAATATTTTTCTTTATTAGATGTATTAGCCCAATAACATTTCTTGGTATGACTGATATATTTGGACTTAACTCTACCATTTTATGTTATAATTTTACTTAGTTATCTGGTGTTTTATAAATATTTCTTTTTGTTTTAAGAAGGCTTGTATTTTTTGTTTTACTGGTTGTATGTGATTTTATATTTTTGTACTGTGACTTTAATTCTTGTTTCTTAAGCTTTTCTTTTACTACCTAGCTATTTTAAGTGGCATCCTTTGACTCACGCCTATTACTGACACAATTATATAATGACACAATTATATTATTCTACTTTCTCCTTTGTCTCTCCCTTTCCATTTTCTTTTAGTTACAATTGTACTCCTTTCTTAGAAGACCTAATGTTTATATACCATCCTTTTATATGTGTACCCACTATTGTTTTAGTCTTAGCTCTACAATTGAATGTATGAAATGTTCACCATTTATTTTTTGTCAGTATCTCTCAGGAAGAGCATACTTATAACACAGTATTCTGAGTTCTTTCATTTCAAAATTTATTTTCTCCAGTTTGCAAACCCGATAGCTTGGTTTGGCATAACATCTATGTTTATCTTTTCTTTCATCAAGTTTCTTGAAAACGATGTTGTTTTGTTGTTTGAATGATGACTTTGAGAAGTCTGGTGTCAGTCTATTTCTTTTGCCCTTGTAAATTATTTTATCTTTTTGAAACTCAAGGCACAGAGGATTTTTCCTTTAATCTTTTAAGTCTAATAGTTGTACTAAGACATCTTGATCATTCAATTTTCCAGGTACCTGGAGGGCTCTTTCAATTTACAGATTCAGTAATTTTATTTCTGGAAAGTTTTTTGGGATTACAGTTTTAAATACTAGCTCTGTTTCACTTTTTTTTCCCCTTGAGAGACACTATATCTAACATAAAACATTCCTTACCTGTTTTCCAGTTCAACCATTTTCTCTCTTACTGTTTATAGTTCTATATTTCTGGCCCCTTGGGTTATTTTTGTTTTCCTTCAAAGACACTTATTAAATTTTCATTTGAATTTGGTTTAATCAGATTCGATTTTTGATACAATGTCTTTCTTCTTATCTTTTCTCATTTCAAGCAACTGTCATTTCTTCTTGACTGGTCATTTTAATTTTCAGTTTGAATCCCTGATTCATGGTGCTTTTTCATATTTTCAAATGCTTGTTTGGGGATATTTAATTACATTTCGAGTGTTACATAACAGTTTTCTTACAGTTCACATCGATTTTAGGGGTATGATTTTTATGGTCTAAATATTTTATGTTTTCTTTTTATTTTTCCCCCTACAGTTTTGTCTGGAATTGGCCTGCTTTTTTATGTTCATATTCATTTAGTGGGTAGGGTTCCTAATTCAGGCACACCCTCTTCTGTTAATTAAGTGGTTTCTTTAATGGCTGCTGGTGGTGATGGTGGTGGTGGTGGTGGTAGGAGAGAAGGAGGAGTTGGCATGTCTTGTTTACCTTTTATTTCAGCACAATTCTTAATTTTCCTCCCATTTTTTTCTTATTTCTAAACCAAGTCTCCAGATTTAGGTGATTCTTTCCCCTATAAGTAATGCTTTTTTGAGACTGTTGCTTCTGATATCACTCACTTTCAAGCCCCTTCCCTGTAAAGTGCTGTGAACTACCAAGATCCAGAACTATATTCAGTATTATAGTACTTGCTATTTGAATTTCTCTTTCTTACGGTGATTTTTTTCCAGTATCTCATCTAAGTCTTCTACTCCTATATTTTTCATGGACTCTCTTAAGCCTCCTATCTTTGTCAGCGCCCACAGGCTTCAAACAGTGAAAAACAGATACACTGCTAGAATTTGGTTTGCTTCTCTACTTAGAAGGTAGACTAAAGGTGATGGAATCCTTTGTATCCTAGGAATGCTGAAAGTTATGTGTGTTTTTTTTGCATTCTTCATTCACTTTATACATTTTGGAGGACTTGTGAGAACACTGGATTATACAGCCTCTGAGATGCTCTAGACCTGGCGTTTTTCTCTACTCAGTTTTTTTTAAGGAGTCCTTTGTCCTGAGTACTCAGCCTACTTGAAATAGTACACTCTAATTCCTAGAAGAAGTCCGAAAAAAAAAAAGCTATATTTCTAGAGATGGGTGAAAGTACTGTACAGAAATTAAAGAAACACTGCAGGTAGACAGGGAACATGGAGCACCAAGGGTGAGTAGTAACTCACGAGGACGTCAAAAGACTCTGAAGGAAACTATAAAATACACAAAAGGAGGCAGTAAAAAAAATGAGACAAGATCAAGGTATGACAAGATCTGGATGAAAGATGGTCACAAAATGGGATGAGACTAATATAAGAATGCTGTATGGTAAGGAGACAGCGAGATAACAATTTGAGGCAGACCAATCAGAATGAAGAACAAAGGAAATAAACAATTAAACTGAAGGGTAAACATTTGGAAGACAGAGCAGAAAAGAAGAGGCTCAGAGACAAGAACAGGTATGCAGAGAAGAAAGTGCAATAAATAAATAAATAAATATATATATATATATTTTTCTTAGATATATATATATATATTTTCCCCCCCAAAGTTCAAAAAGGTATGACAAGATCTGGATGAAAGATGGTCACAAAATGGGATGAGACTAATATAAGAATGCTGTATGGTAAGGAGACAGCGAGATAACAATTTGAGGCAGACCAATCAGAATGAAGAACAAAGGAAATAAACAATTAAACTGAAGGGTAAACATTTGGAAGACAGAGCAGAAAAGAAGAGGCTCAGAGACAAGAACAGGTATGCAGAGAAGAAAGTGCAATAAATAAATAAATAAATAAATAAATAAATACATATTTTTCTTAGAGAGAGATATATATATATATATGTGTGTGTGTATATATATATATATTTTTTTTTCCCCCCAAAGTTCAAAAATTGAACCAGAAAATGGACTTATTATTTATGGATGTGATAAATCTTTAATAAATAAGCAAATATTTTAGAACTGTACTCAGTATGACTCCTTCCGTCGTTATTTTTCACATCCATCAACACATACTTCAGTTAAATCACTTTATAAAAAGAAAGCAAAATAAAAGGATTCACATACCCCTGTAGTTGTTGCTGTTGGTGAGAAGAAAGTGGGACTCTTGGTTTGTTCCAGCCAGTGTAATCTTGGTTACACCTCAGTTTTTTAACAGAAAGAGGAGCTGGCTGAGGAAGAAATCCCAAACTTCTTTTGGCAGAGGGAGTTTGGCTTGAAACATTAGTCCTATAAAAAATAATAGAAAATGAAAGAGCAAAACAATTTTGAATGCTACTTTCCCCCCATAGTAGATTCAGAGAAGTAAATGTCTAAGAAAAAAATCTAAATTTGGGGAAATATCAGTAATAATGATCACGTGAGAAAAAATTCCAGAGATGCGAGTCTGTTGATACAGAGCTGAAGAGGCATATACTGTACCCACTTAACCTACCATCAAAATAATCCAAGTTAATGGCTGAGGAAAACTATATAGTTTTACTTTTTTATTCACTTTTATCTACTTAATAAATATCATACATTAGTTGATCTAGTCTTGAAAACATTTAGGCAGTTAACTTTTTCTACTATGACAAAAAATGATACAATATTCTTACACAATTTCCTTGAGAACTCCCTCCAGTTTATATGCTTAGAAGTAAAAATGTTAGGGGTATTTTTAATTTTCATTTTAATTTTCCTAGATATGATTTTTCCCAAAAAGCTGTACTGATTTATATTTCCATGTAAATAGTGAATTTCCATTTTGTCTTCATTACATCACCAATCTAATAAGTGAAACATGATCTCATTATTATTTTATTTTCTTGATAACTACAAAAGTCAAATATATTTTTATATAACTGTTTTCTCTGAATTCCTTTTGCGCACCCTTAGTTTTATATTGGGTTCTTAAAGATCTGTAGATTTTTAGATAGTCTGTATTTTAATCCTTTGTATATTATTCTAAGTTTCAAATTTTTACATAGTCAAATTTATCAATCTTTTCTTTTAGTTTCAATTTTTGTGTCTTGTTTAAGAATCATTCTGTAACATAAGGTCACAGAAATTTTTCCTATGTTTTCTCTTAAAAGTTTTAAAACTTGTTTTCCCTCCTTTAGGTCTTTAATCTGTTTGGATGTTTTTATATGTCATGAAATAAGAAAAAGATTTACTTTTTTATAGAGAAAAACTGTCTCCAAATGACTTACTGTCTGGCTAGGCTATCGGTTAGCCACTATTTTGTTTTGTTACTTTATAAAAAAAAAAATTGTGAAATAGAATACTTATAGAGAAAAGTGTATAAAAATCAAATGTGTACCACTGTGGTGTAGGATGTCAAATTGTGCGGGAAGTTGTACATGTGTGGGGACAGGAGATATATAAAAATTCTGCACTTTCTGCTCTATTTTGCTGTGAATCTAAAACTGTTCTGAAAAATAAGGTTTAATTAAAAAAAAATAGCGACGTGTGGAGCTAACAAATTTTTATAAAGCAAATACCTATATAACAATCATTAATGTCAAAAACTCCCAAATGCTTCTTCCCAAACACAACCCAGTTCCTCTACCCTGCAAGCTATCACTAGCTTTCTATTAGTTTTGTTCTTACACTGTAGTTTGGACGATGCAAGGTATGTTTGTTTCCATCTTTTTGCTCGCAAACTTCTGCATCCTTATATTGTAGTTGCTACTCTATTCAACAGCAAATAGATTACCATTTTTTCTTTAAAATCCAGTCTATCCTACTCGACTGGAACATTTAGCATATTTCCATTTTTCCATTTAATATCATTACTGATTTGGGTTAATAACTGTTATAAAATCCTTGCCTACTAATTCTATCATCTGTGTCATTATCTGAATCAGTATTTATTAGTTTTTACTCTCCTTATGAGTTATTTTCCTAGCTATAAGTCTAGGGTTAGTTTTCCTAACTAACAAGGCAAAACCTTTTTTAGCATTCAAACTGCTATCGCGAACAGAAATTATGCTTGGATTTATGTTAACACCAAGTATTATTCCCTTAGTTCCTTTTGGGTAGTTCTTTCCCTGGCCTTGCCTAGCTTTCTCACCTGTATAAGCTAACTGGCACTCACCTGGATACTCAAGAGTGACCCTCTGCAGATCTCTGCAATTCTTTCTCTGTGCAGCTAGCTTTCCTTTCTAGTACTCTGTGAATTCTAGCTGCCTTAGCCTCTCTGGACTCCTAGCTCCATTTCCTGAACTCAGGAAAAGCACAGGGTTCTGTGTGGTTCTCCTTCTCTGTGCTCCCTTTCTCAAGGAAGCAAGCTGGGGCAGTCATAAAGCTAATTTCATTTGTTTCCCATCTCTCAAGGATCAATGTTCTTCACCGACTCATGTCCAATATCTTAAGATCTATTGTTTATGATTTGTTCAGGTTCTTAGTTGTTTCATGAAGGAGGATAATCTAGTCTCTGTTACTCCATCTTGGACAGAAGCTGAAATCAGCTTTAACTTTTCAATATGTTTAAACTTAACTGTGGCCTCTTCTCAAACTGAAAAGAAACTTAAAATATTTTAATTTCTCTGTACTCTTCTTCACTCTTGTATTTCTTCCTATTGTCTAATATTTTATTAATTTTTTGCTTTTAATGCTACAATATCCTCATTTTATAAAAATTATCAAAATGTATTTAGATGCATAGAATAACCTCCTGGAAGATTAGTAAAGTAGCTGCCTCTGGCAAGAGAAAATGCACCCCTGGGAGTGAGGAAACAAAGGGAGATTTACGTTTCACCATATGCACCCTGTACCTTTTGAAGTTTCTACCATATACATTATTATACAAAAGAATAAGTTTTAAAAGTATTCGGATTTTAAAATATGCTTTTAAAATTATTTTGCTCACTGTATTCCTTACTTCCACTCCTTCTTTTGCTCAATTTTCTTTTTGGTGAATAAATTCTCTTTGTATTATCTAAAAACAGCATTATGTGCCTGCATTCTTCGATTACAATTTAGCTGGGTATAGAATTCTTTGATGCCATTATTCTAGTGTCTTCTGTTCCTACTGTTGCTAATGTCAGTCTGCTTTACCTGTGTAGATAACATATATTCTGGTGGCTTTTAAAATATCTTTACCCATCATTTTCTACAATGTGAATTTTTTAAAAAAAATATTTGCTGTTTGGTATTTGTTGAGGTGGCTTTTCTACATATAGTCTTTCATAACTTTCATCCACTATTTCTTTGACAAATTCCTTGCTTTTACTCTCATTAGTCTTTTTTTCCCTCCAAATGCTATTAAGACAAAGAGGGTAGACCAAGGAGCTCAACATAAATCTCTTAATTTCATTTACATTTACCATCTCCTCTCTGTGTTGCATTCCATGATCATGCCTTCTTGACATGCTCAGTAGTTACTCCAATCTAGACCTCTAATCTTCATAAAACTTTGTTAGAGTTTCAGAATTCTTGTCCCTGTACAGGTAACACGAAAGCAGGTGCCAATAACCACAATTCCCATTTTCATGTATTTGCTCTCTGCTCAGGGAGCATCACGTAAGCAGCACATTTTGGTTCCAAACCCAAGTGGTAAAATGTTTTGCCCTGGTTTACTTGCATGGAGAGCAGTTCTACACACCCACCTTCATGTAGCTTCATATAAAAAATCAAATTCTGGTCTGGGGTCAAGTTCAGTTCCCAATCTAATGTTGGCTTTGAAGACTAAGCCCTTAATATTTGACTCCTGTCTGTGTTTTCCTTGTGCCTTGTGGCTTCAGCCTTTATTCAATATCCATTTTCTCTTAATACCCAAAAGGATCTGGAAATTTTTACCTTATCTTTGAGTGCAGCTTTGCATTAAAAAAAATTTTTCCTCAATCATTGCTATGTACAATCAATATGCTCATTTTATTATTTTGAGAAGAAATTTTTATTATATTTAATAAATCATTTGTAAACCAACTTGGTGTTTAAAAACTTACATTCTTTTAAGATTCTTCTAATAAATAGAAAGATGTCAAGCTTCCTCTCAAATTCAAACAACTTAGTTACCACTGAAGTTATAAAGCGCTTGACAGATATCACTCAAGGCGAAATATATAATATCAAATTCTTTATCTTAATCATTTTATATAAATAATAAAGATGTTTCTACCACTTTGAATAAATTCTAGTAAAAAACAAACTATAACTTAATAGGTCATTATATCACATATTTATTATACACTATCATTACCCTTGCTTTTTACATTTACCATTGCTCCTCTGTGCTGCATTCCATAATCTTGCCTTCTTAACAAGGGCTTAGCAGTTGTCTGTATATTTATAGCAAATAAATTTAAAAAAAAAATTTAATCTATATCTATAGAATCAACAATAAAACTTCTGACTAGTCTTTTCCAGTAAGATACTAATTTGAAACTTGTTTTTTAAAAAAAAAAAGAAAAAAGAAGTGGTGAGTATGATTCTCATCAAATTTTCTTATTAGGGTATTCACTTAGCGCAAAACCCATAGCCTATTCCATTATTCAATAGTCTAAAGAAGAGAGCTCTTCAAGTTCTTCGCAAGGCATATAATCAATGCATACCTGTCTAGATTAGTGCTACCAGGAGAGTAGTCTTTGGATCCAGCTCTGCTACCATAAAAGGATGACGACTGCAAAGGTAAAAGCCCTATAAAATGAACACAGGAAAAATTTAATTTCTAAATCACCATTCAAGTTCAATTAATAATAAAATTATACATTGAGCCTGTTTATATTTAACTCTTATCTCCCTTTCTTTTCATCAAATACTGTGGAGAGGTTATAATAGCAAAGAATATCCTCCTGCTCCATTTTTTAAAACTTAGTTTTTCTGATTTCCTCCATAACACTAGACACTGTTTCTACTATTTTTTGATTTATTCATTTTTGAACAGTATCAGTTGACTCTATTAGGAAAAATTAGAAATTTCTCATTTACATCATCCCTACTTGTTTTCTTCCCTCCAATTATTAGTTGTTACATTTTAGTTCTTATGATTAACTTTGTAATTTTAACATACTTAAAACTTCTGTATTTTGTTCCATGAATCTTATCACTTGACTACTTACTTCCTTCTCTCTCCTCTTCCATATCAACTTTTATAAAAGGTACTTGAACATCAACATTGTTAAGGCTTATTACATCTTTAAGTATTCTGTCTTCTAACTACAGGTCAATTATAAAAGCTGAAAACCAATAAGTGGAGTTTACATAATGTATTATTATTTCTTAAGTAAAAATTATATTAGAGATACTTATTTCTGTAAGAGTACAGTGTCACAATTCTGAACCACTAAAAGGAGACCATCCCTATAGTCATGATCAAATGAATTCCCTTAAACTCTCAATTTATCAAAATGACATATTTTAGTTTGCTTCAATTTAATTTAAAGTTAACATAATATTTAAATCAATACCAGATACCTGAGTCTCTACGTAGCTCAGGATCAGAGAGATAGGTTAAGTGCAGGAAACACTGACAAAAATTCATGGACAGTCTAAGTTCTAGTTTTTATAAAAACAGGGTGCAAGGTAAGATTAAACAACTATTTTAGACAATTATTTCAAGATCTAGAACTTCTAATAAGCTGATGACCTTTAAATTCAACCATTTTAATTCCCTGGATTCATTCTATGGTCCAGGTACTTTGACAATGAAAGGGCTGAATTCTAGGCAGTTAAAAAGGAAGAAGGTAAAGTCTAGATTCTTTGTAAAGAGAATAAAAGTTCCTATATATTTCTAGCACTTTAAAAATATTTTAGCAGAGTACTGGATTCAAATTGGTACCCAATAACTAGTACTGAATTATGCAGTATTCCTGAATAAGGTACAGAGGTATGTCCCAGCTAGTCTATATATCATATAATAAATGAATATCTTACATAAAGACCAAATACTTACCTGATGTCCTATTCTCTTCTGACTGTTTTAAACTCAGCTGCTTCTCTCTACTGCTGGTTAAATACTTTCTTGAGGGATCTGTCATAGCCTTGTTGTTCCTACAGTTAATAATTTAATTCAATATATAGATGTAAAGATATAGTTCTTAATTTTTAATAGTTGCCACATTAAAATATTTACATTTTGAGTGCTAAATTCATTGATTTGCTACGAAGTTAGGCTATAAGTCTCAAGAGGTCATCAACTTAAGCAAATGAGAATTATGAAAATAAGCTTTCATTACCAAGTCAAAAGCCAATCCAATCCATAACCCTAGTAATTAAACAAAAATGAAGGAGCATTTGTATACTTGAAACTAATAAAATGAAATGAAATAAAATAAAAAAAGGAACATTTTATACAAAAATCAAATCAGAGACAGCAAGATTATATGGATTTTGTTGGCTAAATGCAAGAGCAGATGAAATGATTTAGCTACTGAGACTAAAAGAATCAATTATAGAAATAAACTAAACAAACACAAACCAAAATATTCTTATAGTCTATAGATCTGAAATACTATTTACTAAATGTCAACATTATTTAAATTCATAGTGATTAAACTATTTTAAATTCTTGAACACAAAGTTAAGATTTCTTAAACCCCATTTCTCCCTCTATTATTACCAAATACCTAAACCTATATAAGTGGGTTCACTAAAATAAATGCTTGTGCTTTAATAGTACTTACTTTAGGAGAACCATCACAAATAAAGCCTGTAGCAGATAACTTAGATGCTCCACTCAGATTCCCTCTGACCCCATTTTTATATCCTTTTTCCCCACACCAATTTAAGTATGTTTTCGATAGCAGTACCCAGGGTTATCCTTAATAATATTCTATTATTTTGGTTTCCTTAAGGAATAGTCTGAGATCACACTAATGTTTCATTTCCTGCACTTTACTGTCTTGCTTTCACCATTCCCTTCCTGGTATGCCCTGGGAGTACTTTCTTAATAAATCACTTGCACAGTAATCTCCATTTTAGAGTCTGCTTTCTGGGGAACTAGATCTATAACAGCTGGTACTAGGAAGCACACTCTAAGGACAGGATTCTGGAATTGGACCACTTGTTTGGCAATGGCAACAGAAATCCCATTGCTGATGATAACATCTCTGCTATCCCATACTATTACAATTACGTCTCTATTGAATTGAGATAAAGTGGAAGAAGATATGGATCATGCAATATCTCTAGCATTCAAGAAATGTGGCAGACTGCACAATGAATCTTGCTGGAGTTATAGAGTGTTCTAAAACTGGATTATGGTGATAGTTGCACAACTCAATAAATTTACCAAAATTTACTGAATTGTACATTTAAAAGAGGTGAATTTTGTGGTATGTAAATTTTACCTTGAAAAAAGTTGTTTTAAAAATGTCTTCTTCCTTATACCTAAGCCCCACCCATCAAGAAATGTAATTTCTTTCCCCATCCCTTAATGGAGCTGGCCTTGTGATTTACTTTTTCTAAAAGAATATGACAGATACAACAGTGTATAAGGTAAGGCCTAATCCTAAGGCTAAAGTCACCTTTCAAATATCCACCCACTCTCTTGGAACCCTGCCAATGCTATACAAATAATTCCAGGCTAACCTGCTAAATGATAAAAGACACATGGCCAATCACCCTCATGACTTCAACCACCAGCCAACCAACAGGCAGTCATACAAGTAAGGCCATCTTGGACCAGCCAACCCCTAACCAACCCACCAAGTGACTATGGATGCATGAGAAAATGAGAGAATCCAGTTACAATCAGCTAAGTCTGGCCCAGATGACCAGACCACTCAAGTGACCATTAATTCATAAGCAATAAATAGTTACTATTTTAAGCCACTAAGTTTTAAAATTGTTGTAATACAGTTATATCCAACTGATACAAGTAATATTAGATAAATGATAACCATAAAGAATTGGTTGGTTGTTGCTATGAGTATTGTCCACTCGAGTGAAAATGACAGGCTCAGTTGAGCCAATTACCAATTTAAGGACAAAGATACTACATAGAATCACTCGCCCAAGGAAAGTTGCAGCCTAGATCCTTAGGATTTGAGAGAAACACTATGCTGTTTGCAGCAGAAAATTTATACATCATTTGTAAAGTATGCATACCACTCCTGGCATACTACCAGGCCCTGGAAGAGACTGAGTATCTGACCACAGGTTATCAAGGGACTATGCAACCAGAGCTGGCCATCATGAGCTGGGTGCTATTATATCAACAAAGTCTTAAGATGGGGTAGTTACAGCAGTATCCATCATAAAATAAAAGTGGTACACCTGGGATCAGTATTTTAAGCAGGAATAGATAATAAGAACAGATCTTTATAAGTATTCCTTATGACCATCTGAAAGAGGAGGGAAAAACCTGGGCCTGATTCATGGATGGATCATATTAGTTGGGAAAAAAATGAAAATGAACTGCTGCTGCACTACAGCCCCACTAAGGGACTACCCTGGAAGACAGCTGTGAGAGGAAATCCCTCCACTGTGCAGAGTTTGAGAGGTGCAAACTCATTATCTACTGTGTGGAGAAAAAAGTGGGTCAATGAACTTCTGGATGGTGGCAAATGGTTTAGATAGATGGTCATGGGCCTGGAAGAAGGAAGCCTGGAAGATCAAGGAGATATGATTTATGCAAGAGGTATATGGATAGCCACAAGGAAGTGTCCTCGAAAGGTGACGATCTATTTCACATGTTCATGCTCAACAGAGAACTCCACTGAAGAGACATTAAACAATGAGGCAGGGTAACTTGCCCAGTAGATGCCAGCTAATTTCTCTTCAGCCATCCCAACACTTTCACAAAAGGCCCATGAATAACAGCCATGGTGGCGGAGATAAGAGCTATACATGCACCCTGCAACAGGGGCTCCCTTTCACATAAGCTGGTTTAGCTACTCTGCTGCTGAATGTCCAACTGGTCAGCAAGAGAGACTGATGCTCAGCCTCTGATCGAGCACTATCCCTTAAAGAAACAACCAGTCACCTGGTGACAAATTGATTACATTAGATTCCTTATATCCTAGAAAGGGCAGCAATTAATCCTGACTGGGACTGGCATGTATTTTAGGTTCACTTTTGCCTTTCCTGCCCACAGTGCCTTGGCCATATCATTATCTGAGAGCTCATAAGCGTATTTGATTTACCAATATGAAATCTCACATAACATCATCCTAGAGCAAGGAACTGACATTATACAAAAGAAAAGGAGGTACAACAGAGCCTATGGCCAAAGGAGCCACTGATCCTACCACATATGGTTATTACCCTAAAGTTGATGGCCTGATAAAGTGTTCTAATAGCCTTTAAAAGTATAGCTTAGAGATGATCTCATTAGGAATGGGGTGCCCTTTAATATACAATATATACCTTAAACCAATAAACCATTACACTTATAGAGAATATGTGGGTCTGGAAACCAACGAATAAAGTAGGAATGTCCTACTCACTATTATATCAGTAACTCACTTGAAGAATTTGTTTCCTATCCCCTTGATTTAGATTTTGTGGGTCCAGAGTCCTGGTTCTGAGGGGAAACATTTTCACCAGGAGGGACAGTAAGAGTCTCATTTAATCTAAAGTTATGGCTGCTACCTAGTCTTTTTGGGCTCCTCATGAGAGCAGATCAACAAACAAAGAAAGGAGTTACCATATTAGCAGGAGTAACTGACTTTGATTATTATAAAGAAGTAGGGTTGCTGCTATATAATGAGGGCAGGAGAAATACGTTTGTGATAAAGGGGATTCACTAGGGAATCTCTTATTGCTCTCATGCTCGGTTTTACTATGATTGGGCAATTATAGCAACCACAGCCTGACAAGTACATGATGACCAGGAGCTAACACTCCTCAGAGATGAAGATTTCAGTCATACCATCAGGCAAACCACCAACACCAGCAGAAGTGTTAGTAGAAGATGTAGTAAATCTAGAATGAATGGTAAAGATGATGATCATATTAGTTATAGCTTCAAGGCTATTTGTAGCAATAAGGACTGGAGCTCATCCCACAAACCCTCCTTTTGTAAGATTCTCACCCAGAAACTGGAAAACATGAATGTGAAGAATCTGTGATGAGATGGAATGAACTTAATAGTGATGCTCCATCAGAGCCCCTCAGATCCCTTTTTATACTTTCCACATCTCCAGACTGTTGCTTTTTCAATAGCCACCACCTGCAGTTCTTCAGAGGACTACTTCAGGCTACTTAAAATATTATGCCCAGCTGGGAAGAGCCCTAGAGTACCTATTAACCAAACACTGTGCAGTGTGGGAACATGAAAGCCCATTTTTCTTACCTCAGGTTGGGACAAGCCCAGAGTTCCCCTGCTGGATCAAAATGAAGCCTATGTTCTGTGGGACCTTTACTTAAGATCACACCCTTGGATGGCTTCCCCCTGTTCCCTATCTGCTTTCCCCACTCTGTTACTGGTCTCTCCTATGGGTACTTCTTTAATAAGTTACTTGCAAAGGGTATTCATCTAGAGTTTGCTTCTAGGAAGCTCAAACTTAAAAAAGAAGAAAATCTAACTGTGCTGGTGTAAGAAGTATTATTAGCCCAGAACTATGATCAAAATTTAGGGCCCGTCGGACAGAATTCCAAGTAGAACAACTGGAACTTCTTCCCCAAAGTATGGTAAATGTGAGCTGGCATGCAACGGTTCATTATAACCCCATTTTGTATATTTACCTCCCTGTTCTACAGAAGCCAGAAAACTAAAAAACTATATTTCCAACTTAGTGTTCAGGATGCGATTTAAGATATGGCAATTATATGTACTTGTGCAATATCTGCAAAGTGGAAGGAAGTCAGAGGTCATGTGTTCTGCTACTGATGATGGCAAACATCACTTTGGAGGTGCCTGGTTTTTCTGTAGCGCGGGGTCCCGAACCCCTGGGATGAAGACCGGTATGGGTCCGGGGCCTTTTAGGAACCAGGCCTCATAGTAGGAGGTAAGTGGCAGGCCAATAAGCGAAGCTTCATCTGTATTTGCATCTGCTCTCCAGCACTAGTATCACCACCTCAACTCCACCTCAGATCATCAGGCATTAGATTCTCATAGGAGCACTGGTCCCTGGTGCCAAAAAGGTTGGGGACCAATGCTGTAGAGGATTTCCAAACTTGGCAGTGGCAGCATGGTCCTATAGTTGATAGTTTTCATAACAGCTTCCAATTAGCTGTTAGTTTCATGACATTCAGTCGCATCTTTAATGACCTAATCTGGGGCATGGTTCTCAAAAATTATTCCTGAAAGTTTAACTTAGAGCCTACCCTACCCTTACAGTTTTCCGAATGATTCTGTAAGCCCTTTAATACTCTCTATATGCAAATACATTTGTATGTAAACTAGTTGGAGTAAATTTTGCTCCCTACAACTGGACCCTGAAAACATAATTTTGTTACTAGAAGTAGGATTCTACCATCACAAACCTAAAATATATAATACTAGCTGAGTGGAAAGTAGAGGGTAAGGACACAAACATTACAGACTGGAAAGCTGGTGACCTGTCATCTCTTAGCAAAATATTGGTAAAACTGCCATCTATAATGTCTTGGGAGGCAGACTTCATACTTGCCAAACCTATAGCTCTAAAGAAAAAAATTGAGACAATTAAGAACACCGGTCTGTATTAGTGCTTCTTATTGCCTTCAAAAAGGTCCTATTGGAGACAGATAAATTTGGTCAAGAATTAGTCAGCTTGCACGCAAGAATAAAAAAGAATATATCTCTCTGTGCCAATGACTTAGAATTGAAATTGTCTGGTAATTTGAGACCAGACAATTTCAATTCTAAGTCATTGGCACAGAGAGACCGAATAATATGGGACCGAAAAATCCAATTGCTTCTGATTCTCAAACTGAGGCAATGATAAGAGGTAACTGGAAAAGTAGTTTTGTGAAAAAACTTTGATGTTAATATTAGGGGAAACTGGGTGAGTGGTACACAGGAACATTCCATATCTCTGTAACTTTTCTGTAAATCTAAAATTATTCTAAAATTTAAGTTTTATTAAAACAAAAACAAAATATTAGTCCTGATTCTTTTTTGAGCCTATAAAAACCTGCTTGTTCCACCTCTAAAGAAATTTCTAGATTTCTAAAACTTCTAGACTTCTATGGACACTTCTCAACTTCTAGCACAGTACCAGCATGAAGCAGGCTACAAAAGCTGCATAGCCCCAAAGGAGGACATAGTTTTCAAAACCTTCAGCTATGGCCTTGAAAGATAACAGACAAAGGAAACGTACCAGAGGACAAAGCCAGGAGTCATACAGAGTACAATGAGCAAGAGTTTCTCCCAGAGGGCAGAACAGAGACTGCTACATGGGCTAATCAACAATCTACTCCAAAGCCTTCACAATTTCTGCCTAGCAAGATTTTACTGCTGCTATAGACCAGTGACTCCTCTAGTTTCCTATTCTTGTCTTTTCTAAACATAAGTTTTTATTGTGGATATCCTGTGCCTACTCCAGCAATGTACAGGTATACCTCTTTTATTGTGCTTCACAGATAACTGTTTTTTTACAAACTGAAGACAAGATCCTCCACCAACAGAAAGATTATGACTCACTGAAGGCTCAGATGATGGTTGGCATTCTTTACAAATGAAGTATTTTTAATTAAGGTATACACATTTGTTTTTAGACATAATGCTATTGTACATTTATTAGACAACAGTATAGTGTAAATATAATTTTTATATGCACTGGGAAACCAAAAAATTCAGGTAACTTTATTGTGATATTTTCTTGTGGTGGACTGGAACAAAACCCATGATACCTCCAAGGTTTGCTTGTACAATGATGGGAAATGCAGATTAACTTGCCTTTTAGTTTTTACGTACCAGACCATGAAGTGCATGGTCCAAAGCACACCTGGACCTTATATAGTACTGCACAACACCCAGAGATACTGGACTCTGAACCAGATACAAAGACGAAATGAGACTTGGAAGCTGTCTCCATTAGGATGAGGGTAAGAGTGTTCTATGTATGGAAAGAATGATGAATGGGGGCATTTCTGTGGCTAGAGGGGTAAACTACTACAGCCTGTTAGTTGTCGCCAAATAACCATTTTATCCTTCTGCCATTTTAGAATTTGGGCTGGGCACTTTTCCCAGACTTTCTTATAACTTGATATAACCATATGACTAAGTTCTGATCACTGTGATATACACAAAAGTGGTGTGTACAATTTTCAGCCTAAAGGAAAGCAGTATGCCCACCCTTTGCTCATTTCCTCCTTCTCATCAATAGGAATGCAGACATGAGAGCAGAGGCTGAAGCAGCTATCTTGGTTCACAAAAGAGAAGCTACTTATTAAGGATGGTGGATCAACAAAATAAAAGGAATCTGAGTCCACAGTGACTATAGTTTCAGATACCACACTAGTCCTATTACATTTATTATAGCAGCAGAACCAAGATCCCAATTAATATATAAAGTTTCTTCAGCTTTTTCGATTCCTTTGTGGTGATCCTTTGATCTTGAATATACACTTAACTATCAACTGATTTCTGTTAAGGTGTTAATAAAGGCATTCACTAATAACTATATAAGTTTTCTCCACTAGAAGACAAAAAAAAAAAAAAACCCTCCTATAAGGAGGAAGACGATTATGAGCTGGTGACAGTCCTGTTACAGGTGTATCCCCTTTTGTTCAACCCAGAAAACAGCTCTAAAAGATTGATGCTCCTTGCCTATAACCTATGTGGAGTTCACATGCTTTTACCTCTAAGCTAACTTTTCACATGAGTAATAAGGTAAAAAAATATTTTTATAGGTAAAGGGAAGTGGGAAACAAGGGATTCACACTGAAAGAGCAGCTAGCAAGAAACACTTAAGAGTTCTTCAGCTCTATTTTTCCTTCAAGTACTGCTGATAAAAAAAGGGGGAAAAAAGCTATGATGGGAGTATAATGAAATAACCAAAGCAGTAACAATGACTAAATCTTCTCTCTATTCTACCTATAATCTACTATCACCAAGATACTTTCAATTCTGCTCTTCAGTCTTTAGAATGCCCATAAATTGAATATCATCCTCCCAATCTTCTGTAGTGGTTGGAATTACCAATATCAGAAACAATGATCTAGGGCCTTAAAGGTTCTTAAAGCAACTTACGATGATGAATCATTTTCCTTAGGGTAATCTTCATTCAACTCTGAGCCAGAAGACAGCATTCTCTTCCTCTTTTCAGTCCTACGGAGAACAGAAAAAGAAAGGTTATTTTAAAAAGTTATAACTCATACCATTAAAAAATATAAACCAACATACTCAAGGACAGGAACTGACTACTGCTATCTAATTCTTCACACTACATTCAAATTAATATACTGTATATCTCCATGCTCAATACATGTCATTGACATAAACCTTAAGACAAATACTAATTCACTACCAAAAATGCACTCTCTATTTTCTTCTAACACTCTTTACTCACAGGACAATCTCCTCTTTTTTCTCAAATTATTGGTCTTTCTAAAAGGCCTAGAAGACATTTATGAACAGACACTAAGAAAGAAAAAAAGTCTTTCATACCTATTTTCTAATAATCCTGATCTAAGAGGTGTTGATGTAGCTGTCAAAGAGGGAATCGTCCGAGTGACAGTTATTCCGCTTCCGGCTGCCGTCTTAATTGATCCTCTACTTGGATTACCAAGAACTTTTCGAAATGGAATATCATCTTTAGTTTCCAAACTTCCTCTTTTTGAAGAAGCCTGTAGGAATAAAGTTTAACATAGCTAAATCTTTAAATTAATTGGCATACTTTTAGACCAGTGAGTCTCAAGTAGCGAACTTTAAAAAAATACCAACTAGAGACCCATCTCCAGGGATTCAAGCCTAACTGATCTGGGGTTAGGCCCATTCATCAGTATTTTTTTCAGTACAACAGGTGATTCTAACGTATGGCCAGTGTCATAAATTGTGCAATACGTTTTTCCCTGTAATACTCTTGTAAACTTAAATATTCCACAGCATACCTAGAGACAAAAAGGAATTCGCTATAAATTATTTTTAAAAAGATTCATATACACAAGACATAGTTCTCATGACCAGCACAAAAATAAACCTTTAGAGAAAAAAAATCCAATTATGATTACAATAAATTAAAGTGACATGTGTTATGTGCCTTTGAGTCAATTCTAATTCCTGGTGACCCCATGAACAAGTGATACCCACAATGTCCTATCTTCAACAGCCCTGCTCAGCTTCTGTAGACACATGCTTATGGTTTCCTTTATGGCATCAATCTAACTCATTATCTGTCTTCCTCTTTTCCTGCTGCCTTCTATTTTTCCCAGCATTATTGTCTTAAAGTGACATAGATGTGACAAAAAGAAGCAACAATAACATTTAGTTGCCATGACTTAAATGCCCAGTCATATGTACCTCCTATAACTTTTGAGAGGGTTCTGGTTTGGAGAAATGAAACAAAAATATGTGATGAGGAAAATGAAAGTGAGATAGAGATGACTGGCAGGAGTGGAATCTTCCCTAAAGACACAGCAAGAACATCTAGAGAGAAAACAGCAATTAAAAAATATTAGTTGGGAAATAGTGCTTTCAATCAGCACCTGGCCAGATAAGTTTGATAACTCTATACTAAGAGCTATGTGATTTCTCTGTGGAAGGTATTTGCAACAACTTCCCACAGAACTACAATCGTGGACTAGGAAAGAAAAAAAACCTCTGCAGTCATCTGGATGAATGGTTTAAAAGTTAAATTTTATTTTCGAATGGGTGATACGTGTTCAAGATTCAAAAATCAAAATACTGTTATAAAAACCATATGTTGAAAAGTGTCATTATCACTCCAATGCCATCTACCCAGTTCTTCCACTTCCCATTCTCCTACTCCTCATAAGTATTCTTCTATTGTTTCTCTGCAAAGGCAAATTGATATTTCTTTCTGTTATACAAATGGTAGCATACTATATGTATACCATTTTGCATATTTTTCAACCTTTCCTGGCTTCATAGTAAGACCTATTTTTAATTGCGACCTATTACAAACGTGTAAATAAAACTAAGTTTCAGAAACCAATACTTATTGTTACTATATACAATTCCTTCTCTACTATTTTTCCTTTTCCATTCCACTCCACTCCACTCCATTTCATTCTTTCCCTTTTTATTTAATGCTAGTCACAATCCACAAAATTGGTTTTATAATCTCAAGAAAGGGAATCATTACTTGTGAAAGTATAAATATTTGCTTGTTATATATGTTAATACTTTTACATTTAAATACTCCAACAATTTAAATTTCTTCCTGTAAACAGATATATCTCAAAGTAATTATGCTGAATGAAAAAGCCAAACAAAAAATTACACACTGATTCTATTTATATAAAACTCTAGAATATATAAACTAATCTACAGTGACAGAAAGCAAATCAGCTGTGGCTTAAGGATAGGAGCCAGAAAAGGAAGGATTACAAAGGGGGAATGAGGAAACTTTCAAGGGTTATGGCTACGTTCACTAGGTTGACATGGTGATGATTTTACGGATATGTACATAAGTCAAAACATATCACACTGTACACTTATGTAATTATGTATAACTTACTGAATGTCAATTATACCTCAACTAAAATGTTAAAGAAAAAAACTCATCCTATAAAAAAGAAACAAAAATGAAATCTTACTCACTGCTTAGCCCAGTAAATGGACTAAGTAATTACCTCTGCACAGCCAAATAGAACTCATCAGTTTATTTACAGGAGAGTTTCAAAATTCCTCTTTATTCCTAGTTTCCTTTTTTTAAAACAAATTAAAAGAAACATAGGACTACTAAGCTGCAGTAGTGCACAGCAAGTCTCATGGCTGGCTGAATAATATTTATGAAAAAAAAAAACTATTTAAAAAGAAAACAAAAGACCTCAACAAAACGGTGGTATCATAAGGTGTAAGGGCCAAGTTCATAATGTAGAAGACACAAAGGGAATTACAGAAATAATAGTAGCAAACATTGATAGGGTTGTTAGTATATGGTACTGTGGGCTAAGTACTTTTATATGCATTATCTCACAGCAACCCTTAATATATTATTACTGTCTCAATTGTACAGGTGGGTACTAAGGCTCAGGATACCTAAGTAACTTCTCCAATGACCCACAGCTAGTAAGTGTCAGCACCAAGTCTCAAACACATCTAACTACAAAGCTATGCTTTTAAAAATTATACTTAATAATGGTTATAATGACCATGAGACATCAAGCAAAGGATAAATTGTGCTCAATAAAATCTCTATGTAAGAAGGGAAGACTGCCATAAATTTGAGAAAGATTTTCATAAAAATAGTTGAAGAGATTGAGATAGCTAAAATGGTAAATTTTGGGTATGTGGAAAATACCCTTTTGACAATGCCAAAATTATTAGTCATTATAGTCTAAATTCTACTTCCTGCAATTACTTTATAGAATGTCTATGATTATCATTTTTTAAAAAAGTTAAAAAGATTCAACTGAACATACCTGATTGTCTGAATAAGAAAGCTGCCTGTTAGTTTCCTTCTGTGAGGTCCTGCTGCCCAGAATAGCTCCAAAACTACCAGACCCCTGAGAAGGTTTCATGGCTGGCACAAAAAAACAAACAAACAAAAACAAAAAACAGAAAAACAAAACCCAAATCACTTATTTTAATAGAGATTTGTTATTATTATGAGCAAGAATAAAATAAAATAAAGCTTATCAGCCAATTCTTTCTAAATAGAAAGTACATCTGATGCACATAAATAATTAAAATTTAGAGCTAGAGTCTAAAGTAAAAATTAAATCACATGCAAAAATGTGAAAACATGTAACAGAAGGATAAAAATTTAAATACAAGAAAATGTTAGAAATTCTCCTATAAAAATATTTGGTAATTAACACTACAGAAAAGTTAGTCACTGTGTATCTATGTCATGAACACGGACATTAGACTCCAAGGAAACATGTCAGAACTAGTGACAGATACACTTCCAATAATGCATATTCCAAAACGTTCTCTGTAAGTTCAGCAGATGGAATAGAAGGATTCTATTCCCAAGAAATCAATGCTAGTTTAAAGAACATGCAAGAAACTGTAAAATATAAATTTGTATATACTTTAAAAAGTATTTTCTATTTTAGTCCATTTCCCACTCATGATCATTCGGAATGTTTTAATTTTTAAAAACTGCAAACAATGCTGAATATCCTTTCATACCTCTTGCACGAATGAAATGATTTTTGTAGGATAAAATCCTCAGAATAAGAATTGCTAGGGTAAAGGATGCTCTGGCCAGGACTTTCAGTACCATGTTGAATAGAAGTGGTAAGAGAGGGCATCCTTGTCTTGTTCCTGATCTTAGAGGAAAATCTTTCAGTTTTTCATCATTGAGTATGACATTAGTAACGGGCTTTCATACACAGCCTTTATTATGTTGAAGTAGTTTCTCTCTATTCCTAGTTTGTCAGTATTTTTATCACAAAAGGATGTTGAATTTTATAAAATGATTTTTCTGCACTTTGTAGTTTTTGTCCTTCATCCTGATAATTTGGTGTATTTACATTGATTTTTTATACCTTTAAAACCATGCTTGCATTACAGAAATAAATCTCATTCAGTCATGGTATATAATCCTTTTAATGTGCTGTTGAAACTGGTCTGCTAGTATTTTGTTGAAGATTTTTCCATCATTATTCACCAGGAATACTGCTCTACAGTCTAGTAATATTCTCTTATAACTGCTAATATCAGACCTTGGGACAATTAGTGCTCACCTGCATTAAGTCTGTTTTGATGAACTGCATCTAGAAACAACCTCATTTCCTCTGCATCCTTACTTGGAACTTTGTCAATAGACAAGAAGCTGTTATCTTGTAGAGTTAACATTAGGCGGCTTTGTTTTGCTCCGCTGGGTCGAAGTACCACATTTTTAATGTTATGACTTAACTGATCAACACACAAAAAAATTATCTTATCATTACAAACATATGATAATGAAGCATGTAAGTCATATAATGAATACTAAACTTTATACTTTCTAAGTTACATTTCTTACTCTTTCTCACATTAATTTAGTTCCCCGTACCGCCCCCCGCAACAAAAACAGTTTCTATTTCTTGATACATTTAAATCAAAGATTTCACTATGAGAAGCAAACACATAGTATTAAAATTTATTTTACATCGTAATCCTAGCGCTCTTGATTTTATGGTAGAGAACTGCATATTTTCATATATAAAGATATAAAAACTAATTGAGTTAATTTTCAGAGCCTAGATAGTTATACCATCACCAGTTTAGGAAGCCGCACAGGATTAGAGGCTTTCTTTTTCTTTTAAACAAGTTTGTAAGATATCTAGCAAATGGTTTAAGTAGCTGAAATGTAAAAGGATATATTAAGCCAAACTATAATTCTCAAAAAATTCCACCTCTCAAAATACTTCACCAATGTAAGGTCATCTTTTCTTCTTTAATTGTCTAAGCAGGGTCATTTTATTCAATCACAAAGAATATGAGCACCCTGGAACTATCTTAGCTTACTTCTCACACTCCCCAGAACTGGTTCAGTAACTTGTCTTATACTTTTCCAGACTCTAGATATGTGTTATGAAGTGATAGCTTTTATTTTCTCTTGACTGAAAATTTTCCAAGACTAAATTGATACATCTTGCTGTTTCTCTAAATATTTCCTGCCAATCAGGCATTCTTATTCTCTAATGTTCTCCCTCAGCAGACATATACAAAGGTTTCTAAAAGCTGCCTTTTGCTAAAGACATCCTCTCTGAACAGCACAAGTAATTTTTGAAATTAGGAAAAACTGACCTCTGTCAATGTTTAGATAATAATGAAAAAACAATTTTACCAGACTTAATTTACATTTAAATTTTAAATTATATATACACATATACATATATTCATTCTTAGCTTCAAAGTAGGTCTTAAATTCATGTCCTTGAGTAGAAATTCTACCACAAAACACAATAACTAGTTTCAGATGCTTTAACTCCAAAATTTAAACAAACTGCATAGTATGCAAAAGGAACACTGATCACATAAAATCATTATTTCAGTCAATATGCCACCTTTTAAAAGATGAAAGTTAAATATAAGGGGAAACATTTGTTTATTAACAAACAAGGTGAGAATAATCTTGAACTTGGTCACTTTAATAACTGAAAATCCTACATAGCGCCCACAATTTCAGTAACTACCCATGTGGTGAGACCTCCCAACTCTTTCTCTAAGTATAGACCTCTCTGCTGGAGATCCAGTCCTGTTTACCTAACATCTACTAGACACCAATATCTGAATGTTTGATACCTCAAACAACTCCTCTCTCCTAGTCCTCACACCCCAATCTTCCCCTCTGTTCTCTATCATAAAGGACATAAAAGGGACTGTCATCCACTCGAAACCTTGGGAATCTCCCCCAGATTCTTTTCTCTCTCAGGCCCCAAATCGAATGAGTTGTCTTCTTGAAATCACTTCAAATTTACCCTTTCCTCCTCTTGCTTCTCCCACTCTGTTCCATTGTTCAGGGCTTTCATTCCTACTCTAAATGCCCACAATAACCTCCTACATGTCCTTATTCTACCACTATCTCTTGAAATAAAGTCATCTTCCTAGCCCGCAAATGAAAATGAACTTAAGGTTCTTGGCTCCTTAGAATCTAAGACCCGCTTCGCATAACAAATAATGTATTTCAAGATCTGGCTCCTAGCTAGCTCTTGGGCCTCTATTTCTGTCACTCACTCCCTGCTGTCCATTTATTTTAAAATAATTTTCTGGTTCCCTGAGTGTTGTGCATGTGTTTGTCCATGTATAGATATCACCTCTGTTACCTCCACCATGTTTAGCAAATTCCTATTTATTCTCTAAATCCTCAGAGCATAAACCATACCCTTCTTTGTGTTATCTCAGTATCTTTGAAATACCTTTTTTACAATCAGAAGTTTCATTTTCTTAAATTTATTTTAAAGTTATTATCTACATACAGTATTTTACTATTTTCAGGTGTTCAACATTTATATACCTTACTAAATGATCATCACAATAAGTCTAGTACCCATCTGGCACTATACAGTTATTACAATATTACTGATTATATTCCCTATGCTGTAATTTATATCCTGTGACTATTTTTATAACTTGCAGTTTGTACTTCTTAAATCTCTTCACCTTTTCACCCATCCTCCCATCCCCTTCCCATGTGGAAACTATCAGATATTCTCTGTATCTGTGGGTTTCTGTTTTGCTTTGTTCATTTATTTTGTTCCACATAAGTGAAATCATACAATATTTGTCTTTCTCTAACTTATTTCACTTAGCATCATACCCTCTAGGTCCATCCATGTTGATGAAAATGGGAAGATTTCATTTTTTTTTTTTTTAACGCCTAGAGCACCTAGTATTCCAAGGTGATTTCCCATCCAAGTACTAACCAGGCCTGACCCTGCTTAGCTTCTGAGATCAGACGAGATCAGGCACATTCAGGATGGCATGGCTATAAACTCATTCTTTTTTATGACTAATATTCCATTATATATATGTACTACTTGTCTTTGAAATATTTTTACATCTGAGAATGCATTTGGTTTTAAGTTTGAGGGTAAAAGAGTCTCGTTCAGCTCTGTATTCTTAGCCTTTAGCACAGTACCCACCACAGAAATCTGTAGGTGGCTAACAAATGAATGCTGAATGTAAACTGGTCTAGAACTGAGATGAGGGTGAAATCACAGGTAGAATCATTATGCTCCTAAAGATTTGTCTGCATAAATATTTACATATTTACTCAGTGCTAATTTGAGCTGAGGACTGAAAAACTGAATATCATTTTGAAAAAAATATTTTATTGAGATGAGCAATTAGTAGATATATGTATGTGACAGAAACTACTAGTGTTTCTATTACTCATGTCACCACTTCTAATCTATGTAAGAATATCTTTTGTGCTTACAGCTCTTTTTGAATTTGTCTAGTAGGTCTTCTGGTTCTCACCAACAGACTCCCACCAAAAAAAAAAAAAAAAGGAATCTTTAACACACAAAATCATAAGCAATTTATTTCTATAGTTCAACAGCAAAGACAAATGGAAATTTTACCTCAGCTCAGATCCTCAAGCATAAAGTTTTATAAATTGTTCTTCAATAGAGTACTTTAGAATGATTAACTTTTATATAATATAATTAACAAATATAGAATTTTAAAGTGCAGAAAAATGTAAGTAAGTTATTATGTTCTTAAATTCAACTTACATCAAGGTGAGTAGTACTTGGCTGCACAAGATACACAGTGTAGGAGTGAAAACAAAATTATCTATTTTTTTGCAGTGACAAATAAGATTCTTTAAAAGTTTACAGTTAAAAGAAAATAGCAGTAAGGATGAATGGTCCATATCACCACTCTGGCAGGAGTATTTAGGAAGTAGACATTAAGATGACATTACGAAGTCCTATTAAAAGTGAACACTAAATAAAGATGAATCTATCATATATGTTAAAGGAGAAAAAAAGAACAACTAAAGTTATCCAAATGTGGTTTTTAAAATAGCTTAGATAGTATCCAAACTCAGTTCCTCTCATCTTCCTCCCACCAGCTTTCTTTTCAATAATAGTGACTATCTCCCGCTCTTTATTATACATCAATAATGCTACTGAATAATTTATAATAAATGAATATAACAGTATCAGTGTCCTGGAAATGAAAAGCAAGACATATTAATCTAGGAGGAGGAAGACCATGATACTTAGTACGGCACAGAACAGCTATTCCCTAAAGGATGTGATTTAAAGATCTATTTCAAATCAAAATTTGGAAATACCTGAAATGTCCTTGGAATTCCTCCAGTATTATAGTGAACCACTAGGCTGACTTTATTCTCTTTTTCCACAATTTCAAAGGATCCTTCTTTCCATTTTGTAATCCCAGTCTGCATACTTCGAATTCTGATAGGACCATGTATCTTCAGAGGAGACATACTTTCTTTAAAAATAAACTGTGTCTAGCCAAATTATAAAGCAAAAATACACCTTCACCTGACAGATTCTAAGGAAAAAAAATAAAACAAAAAGTTACAATTTACTAGTGATTAAGAGTTTGAAAAAGAACATTTAATGAACCATCTTTTGTCTTTTTCTCCATTTCAATAAACCACACTTTATTAAGCATCCTCAACAGCCTTAATTAGCTGGATGGCACAGATAAGAAAGACAACTAAAGCAGTCACTGATATTGAGTGTCTGACTCTATTCAATATTTATTTCTTCTATACATGTGCCCTTCTTTGTCATGTGTCCAGTATGAGTCTATTAGTGCCTAAATTTTGCATTTTGCACCATTAACAACCATACCGCTGCCACTAAAGGCACACCAATTGGGAATACTAGATACCATTCTCGATGATGTGATCGCCCACTGCAGTATGACCAACTTTTACCTCCCTTCATGAATGCTAACGTAAAATATAAGTACAAAAAATATTTTGAAGTTCCTCCCAAAACATCAAATCATATCACCAAGTAGTCTAAGCATATCTACACGTACATAAGACATTAAATGAAGATAAAACTGTAAGAATAATCAAATTAGTTTAACCTCTAGAATTATATTATTTGAGAGAATCATTTATTCTAACAAGCTAACAACAACAAAAAACTCTCTTCCTAAGAACCATCTACCATTTATGTTTAATATTACTATTCCTGGAAAGACTCTTTACCAGTTCTAGGACAAATATTCAATTTTGCAAATGAACTTCTAATACTTAAAAATGGCTTACAACAATGATAGAAGGTCTAAGACTTAAAACTAGCTTACTAAATGTCAACAAGTAAATATAATTAAAGTAATAGCAGAGAATGCTATCATATAGTGTGTGTGAGTTATACAACTCTTCTCTATATACCTTCTAGATCTTCATAATGAACCACAGATCAAATCACATTACATATGTTAAAACATTTTATTTATACTCTTTTTAAGTCTCTAAAAACACTGCCTCTAATACAGACTCTTGCTTATAATTTAATAAGTTAAAAATCATTAAACTTTGCATCTGACTAAACGGCTCAACTAAAAAAGCTAAAAAAAAAAAAAATAAGTAGTATACAAAGGAAAAAACATACATACTAGGTCTAGATATCAGGAGCCAGCTCTTGTCACTTACTAATTTATAAGTTATCTTTTCTAACATCAGTTTTCTCAAGTGTAAAACAGGAATAGCTAATGCTATAGTGTTGCAGAATTAATGAACACACACTAGGCACTCAACAGACCCTAGCCTTAATATGAATTCAGTGTCCACTTTCTGAATTTATTCCTTGTCTGCAGCACCTCATTCTCCAAAGACACCAGATAAACAAGTTAACAGGGGTTACCAATTCTAATTGACTATAGGGGCCAAGCAGTTTAACACAAATGACTTACTTGGTCAGACAAACTATAAAAACTGCTATTCAAATCTAGCCAATTTTGTCATGTAGAAATAGTGAACCTAGCACATCCAAATTTTAATGTAAAATTGTCCATTTTTGGTGGGCAATAAAGCTATTTTCAAAAGCTACAAATCAAACAAAATCTACCTATAGACAGCGTTAAGCCTGGGGACCACTAGCTTGAGGACTCTAGATACTGTACGTCAAGTAACTGGGAATAAAATTTAAAGAGATATGAAAACACTTTGAATAGTTAAACACTTTGAATAGTTAAAAGGTGTTATGCATTTTAAGTATTATCATTAACTCATCTTATCAAATTTTTTGAGTGCCTACTGTGGCCAGATTTAGATAGTATAATTTGCTGGGTATATGAATCCGTCAAAGTAACAGAGTCTGCTACTGTTTACAGACCTGTATGTTAACATGACATTTTGCTCAAACTAGTAACTACAGAATTTTGGGCCAGCAATGTGTTATACTTTTCTTGCAATTAATAATTTGGTGCTTCATTGTTTAGATATGTCCTGGAGATTTTTTCCACTCTGTCTCAGCACTGCCAATAATAATGTGGCCCCTCTTTTACCCCAGTTGCCCATGCCAGAAACATGAGAGTTATATTTGACTTCTCTCTTGATGATTATTGCTATTGAACTGGAGATGGAAGGTCAGAGTAGAATCCTGTCAATTCTACCTCCATACACCTTCCAAACATCTTTATAATGAACCGAAGATCAAATCACATAATTTTCCTCTTTAATATTATTTAATGAATCCCCACTGCCCTAATAACAAAATGTAGACTCATTAACACGACATAAACACCCTTTGTGATATAGGCCCTGCTTAACTCTCTTCTCAACAGGCCCTACAAATTCTGCCATCTGAACTACTTATAATTTCCCTAAAAAACACCACATGCTCTCATGCCACTATACCTTTGCACACACTGTGGTGGATGTCTGCAGGATGTTCCCATGCCACACAAGGCCCCATAATTCCTCCTGTCTGTAAAATCAAGGCTCAACTTAAATGTTAACTTCTTTAAGAAGCCTTTCCTAGCTACTTTTCACTTTTTCTCTCATCCCATTAAAATGAGACTATTTAATGCTTCTCTATTCTTATTGTACCCTGTGCTTACTTTTAGTTGAGCATTTATCATACTGTATTATAAACTGTTTTCCTCTTTGTCTCGCTCTGTCTAGACTCCACTATTTAAAGATAGGGAATATGTTCTTCAATCTTTGCATCTCCATTAGGACAGTGTCTGACATACAAGAAAAAAACTCAATATTCAAGAATAATGAACAAATTAGTACTATCAATTTTACTCAATTTACTGTGAAAATATTCAACAGCAGATACTAGAACCATTAATCCCTTTAATATAGCCAATTAGGATTATATTTACTAAGCTCTTCACAAGCATATTGAACACTTAAGCTTTTTCTGTGTGCAGTGAACTTCACTAAATGCATAGTTGTCCTCATAAGATTCAATGAGAGAAAAATCATTTATGAAGAACAAGGATCAATATTCAGTTACAGACTGCATTATCAAAACAAAAACATTAGTAAACTTGCCAAAACTGGGATTCATATTATTCAATGCTCAATGAAGAAACTCCATTTTAAGAATTTTGTCAAATTACTTCATCTTTCTTTATATGTCCTTATGGGTCAAGGTGCCAAATTAAAAGGGAATAATGTAAAACCCTATTATCTTAGTATTTTCCTACATACCAAAAGTAAAGGTCGTTGACCTTAAATTCCTTGAACAAAAACATTTTTAAAAATTAGATTATTTAACAAAAATTTGAGGTGAAGATTTCAAAGTTCACTAAGATATATCAGAAATAAAAATTTTATTGGTTATTTCTCTCTATATAATTCTCTATAATTTCTCTACATAATTCTCAAACATTTGATGCAGAGTTTTGGTTAAGGATGTTAAACACCTTATTAACCATTTCTACTAGCAACTTCTCTTTCTTCTAAGGAAAAAGAAGAACTGAAAGGTACAGAACATAAAACGGGTACATCCAATAAACTTAAAACTTTTTCTTTATGCCTCAACTTAGTCCATCTCCTGCTCTTGCACTAATGAATGAACAATATCTACTTTTGTACGTTCATCATATTTTCAGGGTTTGCCCTACTTGGTTAAGAGAAAAAAAACTTTCTTTTTCAGTTTTTAGCATGATCCAGTAATAAACTTTCTTTGAAACTAGGACAAAGACAAGGTTTCTTTGACCTCTGTAATGCTCACTATCAAAGTTATATTAGGAAGACAAAGTATAATGAAAACTCATTATTCTTTAAGTATGTCCACAGAGATTCCCC